TGAATACTAAAGCAATTGTAACAAATATTGAGAAACGTATTTTGATTTAGAAGTTGACAAATGGAAACAATCATTAGAAGGAGTGTCATCAATTTCATGAAATGGTAGAAATAAGGTAAGAACGTATAGAATGTTCAAGAATGTTTTTGAAACTGAAACTAATGTAAAACAACATTTGCCTTTTCATTGTCGAAGAGCTATGGCATTATTTAAATGCGGTGTTGCACCGATAAGACTGGAAATCGGGAGGTAAAAAAAATTGTCAATACATGAAAAAACTTGTTTTAACTGTACTGATGCCGTAGAAGATGAGATACATGTTATGCCATACAATTTAAAGGAAGACCTTTATTGAGTCTGCATGAACATTTGATAATAATTTTGATAATAATTTTGACAACTTATCTGATGTTGAGAAAATGCATAACGTTTTTTGTTAATCCATGTATGACTAAGTTTACAGCCAAAGCCTGCTTTAATATTTTAAGACATAGATGTATTCTACTTTATTGTAATATAGGTATTTTATGTCAGAAAATGTTGTGAATCTTACAGAGAGGTTATTATATATTGGTCTGGAGCAATGTGATAATTATGTGGATTTTTAATTTCATTAGAACTTATAAATATAACATCAGCCCAGTGAATTGCCTTATATATAGTCTTTTCGATACATTAGAAGAAATATATAGTATTTTAGATATGTAAACTTAAAAAAAGTAGTAAAAATGTTAGAATCACAGCATTCTTAATACATTTAAAGCAAGGTGTGTATTGTATATAATTATATATCTAAATATATTTTTTAGTATATTTACCTATATGTAAGCTTTGTTTACACGTCTCATATAATTCTGTATTGAATGGCATATGTACTTTTATCAGTTTTATTCATTTTTATTGTGATGTATTTGATGTACATGTGATGAGACGAAAATAAATTATTTGAATTTGAATTGAATAGATCGTTAATCATTACTCTTAATAAATTATTCACTTTATTATTGGATTTGATATTACATGTATTGTAAGTCTGCGATGCATAAAACAAATACTGTTTTTACGCCGGTCTTATCGTGGAGTTAATATCTATGGCATTCAATAAAACGTTGAGCAAAATCTAACAAAGCCAACTTCGGGTGATCATGGAATACATTTGTGGCATTTCTTGGTTTTTTATGGCCAGCTGACTGAAATTCTAGCATACTCGTATTAGATGATAATTACAACCGAAAACCACATGAACTAACAACGTGTCTGATTTCAATTCATCAAAACACTTAAAAATCCATTATTCGTCAGGATGCTTTTATTTTTATTTCTCAAACGGTTTTAAATTTCGGTGTACTTTCATAGTATCCAAACAGTTACTCATTGGCCAATCACTTGGACCATCTTTCCCTTCTGTTGCTTTTTGGCAATAAGATTCACGATTCAAGATTCAAAATATTTTATTTGGTAACGTAAACATGAGGTTTCTTGCTACACAACACATATATACAATGATACAATATAACTTGTCAACATGACACAAATTTATAGACAATTATATTTTTTAGCGGAAAATATGATACATATAGTCAAAACAAGAAAGAAAATGGAAGCGAGAAAATAAGGAGGTTGAACTAATGGAGATTTTGTATATTTAATGACTTACAGCTAAATAACAGTCAAAATCAGTCAAATGTTTCATGAAATTACTGACTTATAACACGGACAATAAGTATATTTTTTATTTATAAACGTATATACAGTAATAAGCTTCTTCAGATATCATATTAACAATACCCTGACGTATTTCAAACGCTTCATATATATATTTACATAATTTAAGTTGCATGTTGCTGTTGGTATTCTGCATTAGTTCAACGAATTTATGGACACTAGGTCTATTATAATAATATTTCTTTTAGTACTGTTTACGTATATCATTATAAGCATTACAAATACAAACAAAATGAAATTCGTCTTCTATATCACGTGAATTACAAATAAGACAATATCTCTCACTACGTTCAGTTCTACAATTACCATACCGTCCAGTTTCTATTCTAAGTTGGTGTGAAGACAATCTTAATTTTGCAAAAGCAATCCTAAATTTCTTAGGAATTTTATCAAGATACAGTGAGTAATCAAATGACGCTTAAAAAGTCTATATGTGCCTATGCTCGGGCTAGTTGTTACATTATGATACCATGACTGGCTGAATTGATCAATAAGAGCTTGCTTAAATAATAAATGTACATTTTTAAGGTTATAAATACTTGGATTATAATTGAAAATAATCAGATTTAAATTTCAATTATGTACGTTTATCATTTATTGCGAGAGATTATAGATAGATAGTTTTATTCTGGTAAAAATATATGTCATAAAACAACTACAAGTTCAATGTCAACATCAAGAGGTACATGTAAACATGAAAGTGCATGTGTTGATGTCATATATTCAATACCAAGGATGACACAAAAAGAAGGCATAAGCCGACTTATTTCCATTGTGGAATTGATCATATGACACCAGAAAGGCAAAACAATTACTAATTATAAGGTTTGCACATAAATTATTCAATCAATTTCTTATATCAATTATTGCACATAAGTATTTCCATCACAAAATTTATCACACATGTATTATAATCATAATATTATGACAGATATGTTTGACAATGAATAGGTACTACTAAAATATGCACTGAACATAAAAAATATATAAATAAAAACTAAGTAAGATGACTGGATTAAAATGACTACTGCATAAAATGTTCCTTAAGAGATTTTTTAAAATTATCACGACTTGTTATGAACCTAAGATGTGTTGGTAACCTGTTCCATTCCTGACAACCATTAAATACAAATGTTTTCTTTCCGAAACCCTTAACTCTTGGAATAGAATAACTGTTACTATCTCTAAATCGAGTGGAGTAAGAGTGTACCTCATTTGCAATTTGAAAATGCTCATTTAAATAACTAGGTGCACTATTGTTATGTATCTTATGTACATGACCAAGAATAAGGAAATTTACCCTTATATGTACTGGTAACCAACCAACTTCCTCAAAATGAGCCCTCCCTATATGAGTACGGGGACTGAGATTAAGTATAAACCTCACCATCTTATTCTGTGTGGCCTGAAGTTTATTTTTTAGATTTTGACTCAACCTTAAATACCAGGAGGCACACGCATAATCAAAATGACATTGTATTAATGAAGAAACTAAAAGCTGTTTAGTATACCTATTAAAAAATGAACTTTTTCTATATAAAAACTTAAGTTTTGCATTGGCCTTCTTAATTACCTGATTGGCTATAGACTCACCAGAGAGACATTGATCTAGGTCAGCACCTAAAAATTTAACAGATTTGGTGGATGTTATTGTAGTATCATTACATACAATATTTAGTTGATCACATGACCTAATTAAGTCTTGGTTTAGACGCAAATAAAATAGACTCCGTCTAGACAGTTTATTATCAGTGAGCCACTTACTCACACTACTAAGATCATCAGTAAGCTGAGAGGTAATATACTGGATATCTTCACCTGATACTAAAATACCTGAATCATCAGCATACAGAAGCAATTTATTACGAACCACAGCCTCCATATCATTAACATAAATCAAGAATAGGAGAGGGCCAAGGATCGAACCTTGGGGTACCCCACAAGTTACATTGGCGCTAGATGAAAGTACACCGGAGACATTAACCATTTGTGTACGGCTAGATAAGTAAGAACTAAGCCAGTGAATAACATCACTAGAAAACCCCCTAGCATCAAGTTTCATTGAGTAAAATATTATGATCGACAGTGTCGAACGCCTTTTGTAAATCTAAAAGGACCATACCAACATAATTACCTTTATCCATTTCAAATTTAATGAAATCTGTAAGGTGTAAAAGTCAAGTGTCAGTAGAATATATATGTCTAAAACTTGATTGATGGGTATAAAGTAGGTTATTCTCTGATAAGTAACTCTCTACTTGGTCATTAATAATTCTCTCAAGGACCTTGGACACTACACTAAAAATAGACACTGGTCGATAATTACCAGGTTCAGTCTTATTATTTTTTTATACAATGGAACAACACGGGCAGACTTGAGATCATCTGGAACAATACCAGTAATAATGGATTGATCATTAAACATCACCAATATGCTGAAAATTTGCAATTTTGGAGAAAAGGAAAGTAATTAAGCATCTGATATATCGGTCAAAATTTACAATATTTGGTTGTGCACCAAACACCACATTCTCAAATTGCTGCCAACCAGTCCTGTCAGTTTCGTGAATGTATATAGTTTCTTACAACCGCTCGTACACATAATTTTACGTATTTTTTAAAAGTAAATTCGAACATACAAAAAAATAAAAAAAATGTGGAGGAAAAAGTTACATGAGGTTTATAATCGTCACAAAACAGAAACAATGCTGAGGAATCGCCAGGCGTTAGGCGGATATACTAGTACATGTATTGTATAAAATTTGTACATGTATATCCCGAAGTATGATCAAATAGTGACTGACACAATGTTTTAATATTGGTACGTATAAAGTCAAGTAAAGACAAAGCGTAGATTCGATGCCCGATTAAATGTCCAGTACTGAACAAATAAATGTCTGTAAGCGGCCGAAAATTTTCTATAATGTCTCCAAATTTGTTGTCGAATGACTTCAGCGATGGATTTTATATATGCTAATTTCTACAACAATTTAATAACAATAATTTGAATTGTTTATGAAAATCTATTTAAACTCTATTTCAAAAACATTTATACTGTTAGATGTCTTTAATAGATAGGTCATTAAGTAAGTAACAAACCCATTAAGTTTTAAAGTCTATGCACACCATAGAAACAACAAAATACATTGTTTGTATTAGATGTCAGAGATGCTGTTGTAATTAATTGCGATCTTACGCAATATGAACAAACTAGACGTTGATGTTCATATATGATAAACCACTAACATAACTGATAGCTGTTTAGGTCACAATGCCATTGTTTGAAATAAACTTGTCCAATTGTATTCAACGTAATGGTTGGGCGAATTTCACTTGAATTAACACCAGTTAACGCTACCTTACAACGCTCATTTTCAAGCAAAAGAGTTCGTCGGCACTTCTGCTTTGGATATATTGATTGCAAAAGTGAGTTTTATCATTATTTTCTTCTTTATGAGTATAACAAAATAAAATAAATATAATGTAAGAAAGGAATATCACGCATTTTAAACAATAATTTTCTACAGTCTCGTTTCTGAATATTTTACATACTCGAAATTCATAGGAGCGCACTTATAAATAAATATAAATATTCATCGTCCAGTTTTTAAATTCAAATATTCATGCAGTTTAAATAAGCCTGTCTAGTTCATAGTTATTTCATCAAATGTAAAATAGTGAAGAAAATAACAAATAATTATAAAATATCAGGCATTTTTAACAAATTTTGACTATATTTTTTAGAATAAGATACTTGACTTGTAATTTACACGCATCATATATCCAATAAATTTCATCACTAATTATTTTTATTACACATATCTGAATAAATTTTAAAACGGGAATGCTTTTTATATCGAAAATGTTTCCTGCATTATCTCTGAAATTAGAAAGAGTGATTTTTATGTAAAACAATAAGTGCTTGAAAGTGTTTTAATCATACAATTGCTATATGTATATTAACACAGCAATTTTCAAATTCTGGAATAGAAACTTTCACTTAACATATGAAGATATTCTTCCAGGTGAAACGTATTCTGTAATAACTTAAAAATAAATAACAAATGACCTGCATTTTCTTTACAAGAACGTATTTGTTTTTCATTTTTTCATTTTTAGAAAGTTCTAATTAATGGATTAGTACAAAGATGTAGCCTGTGCTTGATAAAGTATCCAGTTTTGAGTATGATTGGGTCAAGTTTTGAAATTAGGTTTGATATATCTGATTTGATTTAAATTTCAATAGTAACTCAATTCAGTGGTCGGAAAAGTAATCCGTTGCACATCGAAACAAGCAACAACATCAACATCAACAACATCAACATCAACAACAACAACAACAACAACAACAACAAAAGCATGGAATAAAATAAAATCATAACAATGTAGAAATATTTTAAGAAAAGTATTAATTTTCACAATCAAAGTGACACTGAATGTTCATGCAGAGTTATACAGAACGTACTGTTTTCATTACCATATTTCTATGGTGTAATGGTTATTTCTACTTGTTACGATCAATATTTATATACCGGTTTTATTAGAGGACAACATGTCATTGGGCTCAGTCTTATTATTTTGTACAACTGACAACATTTCCATTTTTTAAAAATAATTTTCTTAGAAATTTACATGAATCATGGGCATGCTGTTTTAATTCTGTTTTAATTACCAGCACTTATACGTGATCTGTTGTAACATGAGTTCAAGGTGTGAATTTAATTAAGCAATGCTTTTTTCTTATTTTACTGCTTAGATTTTCTGTAGTCATTAATACAGTTAAAACAATTTGCTAGCTAATTTTCCCTTTGTGAATTCAGAAGTAAAACGGCACTCCATGTTTTTAATGATAGTATGATGCATATTGTTATGCTTGATAACATCAAGAGCAAAATCATAACTGTCAACTGACTTAAATTGCTTCAAAAAACAGTGAAGTCTTATAAGGTTTTCAACACAAAACAGAGTCTGATTTTATGACATTCTTACTCAAGTTTGGTGTTCTAACACTTTTAACATTGTATCATATATAATTTGATACAACAACGTAACTGAGTGAAATATTTAATTATGAACTTTATTTGATGATTTACAGGCTGAACTGTTGTGAAATATTTAATTATGAGCTATATTTGATGATTTACAGGCTGAACTGTTGCAAGATGAATCTCTTCTGCTTGACAATTTTATCTGGAATCATGACCATTCAAATATACACAGACGCAATGTTCGTTCCACCATTTGGACATCACGGTCATCCTGGTCATCCGATGAAGCCACATCTGTTTGGTCCGCCAATGCATGGACCACCAATGGCACATGGACTGCCACCACCGGTGATGCATATGCACGGTCCACCGATGCATGCACCTTTCCATATGCCTAGACCGCACATGATGCCTTTACCAGGCCATGCAATAATGAATAATCATTATGATCATCGTATGTCTAAATTTCAACAAAATGCATTTCATCCGTTACAGCCAAAATATAGAAAAAAGGCAATGACGAAAGCGTTTAAACCTACGAAGCTTTTTAAAAAACCGAGACGTGTTCTTCTTATCCGACAGCGAAATGATATAAACATGCCAGATCCATATGAGTATCAACGCCAAATGAGTCGAGTGGCACAATCAATGTATGAACGTGGTATTAATTATAACAACAACTTCGAAGGAAATCGTTATGACAACAATAATAATTATAACAACAATGTTGGCAATGGTAGATTTAACAATAGAAACTTTGAAAACCAGAGAAGAAACAATGCCAACCTTAATGACTTTAATACAAGGAACTGGGACATTGTTACCAATGGAGGCAATTCAAGAAATTATGATAATAATAGGAACTTTGGAAACAACGGCAACTTAAATCCACCTCACCTACGAGAAGTTGTTGATACAAGCAATCGTGTAGAAATAAGTAAAAACTCAGTAAAGTCGAGAAATGTTGGGGGATCAACACGGAGGCAATCAGTTAGACTCAGTAAAAGCAAAGGTAAATCCAACAGTCTATCTGGTAACACTATTGACTTAACTGGATCAAAAGTGATATCATCCAACAAAAATTATGGAACAGAAATACTGTCGTCTAATCTCTTAGACAAAAGCAATTCTGGAATTCAATCTGAAAAAGTGAACATTAGACGAGATCGGATAAAGAGTAGCACGAAACGTACAGACACCTCTTCAAGAGTTACACGTTTGAACAGCAACAACGACAACAGAAACAGCGACAGATTTAATAATAACAACAGCAATAATTACAACAACAGAAATAGAAACAGCGACCTTTTTAATAATAACAACAGAAATAACAACAACAGGAATAGAAACGGCGACATATTCAATAATAACAACAGTAACAACAACAACAACAACAGAAACAGTATAAATGATAGAAATACAAACAGTTGGAATAACATGAACAACAGTAATAACAAGAACACTAATAATAGTAATAACAAAAGCAATATCGGATTACAAAGTAATAACAACATCAATTTCGATAACAACAGCAGTAATCAAAGCAACAAAATAACTAATAGCAACAATAATAGAAATACAATAACCAGCAACAATAACAATGAAAACAGCAAAAGCAATGTTGGTCAAAACAACAACAACAAAAACAATAATAGTCAAAATAACAACAATATAAATGACAAAAACATAAACCTAACTGGGTTAGCTGGATCGCTCCTTGATTTCACTAGCATGGGAATAGATGCTTCAGCAAATCGTCAAAATACAGGCAACAATGCTCTGAGCTCTTTGTCAACTGGAAGTCATCTTCCTGGGTCAGGCTCTGCTACAGCATCTTCAACTTTAGTCAATTCCAATGGTGCAAATAACGCTGCAGCATCTGCCGTGGCTGATTTAAATGGAAATTCGATCAATTCTGCAGGAAATTTACTTAGTGCTAGTGATCTTCTTCTGATTGACGGTAATGGCCTGACTCCAGCTGAAGTTGCAGCAACTGCAATTCCTATGGCCGGCGATGTACTTTCGGGCGTTGTGGACTTGTCAGCTACTGGTGGAAACACAAACAACATTGGCGGTACTAACTTTGACGTTCTAACTTTAGACAAAGGAGCCTTTGCTCAATTAGAACACGCATTACAAACAGGCCAAACAGTAAATGCTCAATTACTTGACTCCATCATTAGTGGCGGTGGCACAACCAATAACGGGAATGGATTTCACACGAGCCTGTCGTCACCTTCGGCAACAGCCGGTCACACGGATCCTTCTTTGGCAGTTCCACAGATCATTATACTTGATCAAGCCCAAGCGCAACATTTAACCGGATCAACAGATTTAGGAGGTCACGGTGGAAATCCACAACTAGTTGATTTACACACATTATCATCGTCTTCCTCTAACTTAGCGCATACTTCGGAACAGTTGTCGTCTACAGCCTCTTCCAGCCATTCATCTGTGGATGTACCTCATGCAGGAAAGGTTTTACCAGGTGTGCCTAATCAGCTGTTGTCAGGAAATCACGGAGGGAGTACCATGGGAGGCCATAGTCACGGACATGGTATTGTTGGTATTCTTGGAGAACCAATAAAGGCCATTACTATGGGATCGAACTCTGACCTCATGGGTCTTTTTAGTATGCCAGATGCGTCAAACCTTTCAAATATCCCTGCAAGTGTCGTAAGCATACCAGAATCAATAGGCAGGCGGATGCCATCTGGTCACCAGCACTCAGGACAGACAGATATGTCTAGCATGTCACATTCAACAGGTCATAGAATGCCATCAGGACATAGTTCGCATTCAAGTCACGGTGCACATTGTAAGTATTCTCTGCTTTAGTTGGTTAATTGATTGTAAATAGTTACTGTTAAGAAAAGTTCATTGTTATTTCCGGGTACTTATTTAAGATGCAGATCATGTGTAAGATAAAAGCAGCTCAGGTGCCAATTGCCGTGTGGAAGCTGTAAAAGGTTTCCTGTTGTTAATTCTTTCTGGTCCTTCGGGATCATTGATTCCAGAACGGTAATGTTGTAGATTGAACCGAGTCTTCAATTTTCACTCTTGTTGTTTCATTGCTTTCAAGGGATCACACCTTTTCAAGATTTCTTTTTTGAAATTTACTCAATGCTGCGCTGTTTACAATGTTTTGATTGATTTCCTCTTTTGGAACTTGCTCCGTGGAGTTAAAAACTGTAAATTGCAAAAATGAAATAGACTCGTGCGAATGATGAAATCTATTATGACATAATTCTGAAAATGGAAACTGTTGTAATTCCTGTATTAAGCAGTCACTGATAATGTTGATACATATTGTAGAGATTTAATATTGCTTTTAATTATAAAGATATCAGTATGTAAATTTTATGACAGATTAATGGATACCTCTCTAATTGTTTGGTTATTAGTATATTTGTCTCATGTCAAATGTATTATGACAATGTATTACATTATTTAAATATAACTCAATTATTTTTCAGAGCCGAAGCATTATCCACGAAGCCTTTATCTTTTTTACTTGGTGCCAGTATTATGTTGACTGCGGGGTGTGTTGTAGCATATGAGATCGATAAAACAGTGAATCATGAAGATGGTATATTGATTGATTGTCGTTTCATGTAGAAACATTTCGAAGCGGGGATACTGATTTCGGGTTTCTACAACATGTTTGTGTTATAGAGTAACGGAGTGGCACAGTCCCTGCGTGATTTCTGTTGCTTTTTGGCAATATGTATAACATATTACAGCTATTTAAATTGTTATATCAGGGAACATTCTATTTCTATATGTGAGTCATAATGCGCAAGTGATACAGCAAATATTTATATTGAATGTTTTGTTTATATATGTTGCGTAATGCAATGGTTTGTTCTAATATAATGGTATCGTATGATATCTCTATCCTTTTATATTGTAAAACATTTTCTTTCTCAAATCAATATTGAATAAAATAGCCAAGTTTGATATGGGCATTTCTGTTCTTATTGTTAAATGCACAGCTGAATATACTATCATATCATTTCTGACAACATTTAAATACGTGCATATGTAAAATCAGCATGACAACATATTTCAGGATACTGGAATGTAATTGCAATTTACATATAAAGTGAGAATATGCCATTATAACTTTTGCCATACCTTGATTTTGTCTAATTAGACGTTAAGATAAAGAAGTTTACGTAGATAATATTTCCATTTTGACATGAAAAGTAAATATTGTAAACGACAAGTTTGATTATGAATTAAAGAAATAATAACACTTGTAAGTAAAATTGTTCATCTTGAAATAAATTGTTTTGGTTGTGTTGACATTAAACCTGTAAAAAAGATGACAAACAGTTTACCAAGCATAACCGATTACAAAACTGTTAAATATGAAAATTGGTATATTATTTATTTCAGCGTATGTACGTAATATAAAATTTTCTTATTTCGTTACGAAATTTAAGAAAAAAGTTATGCCATCTTTTTGCATTTTCTTGTAAAATTATTACATGTTCATGTTGAAACGTTGTTAATATTCATAATTCGTATTTAATTAGATTTTTATATGATCTTTATAATTTATTTAGCTAACACATGTTCTTTGTTAATTAAATTTCATACATTAAAATGACAAAATATGACATTTATTTGTGTCATTATATATTCCCATGTACGATCATAAAATCTCTTATCCCACATTCACTTTATTTTGTTGGTTACTATATAACTCAAAGTAATGTGTCAGTATACAAGACCAAACAGTGTTTAATTTTCTATCAAAGTGAAATAATATTTTGATATCCATAGAAAACCTGCATGTATGCAAGTATATATTTTAAATAAAATAAAATTCGGTTCTTGTGTAGCAGTACTATGTGAGAAGTCTGTTTCTTTGAAATCATCTTTTCAGTACTTTATATCTATTTCTATTTAAGACAATTAAACATACAAGTGTAAATCATGGTTAAATAATGATATAATTGCGGATACAAAGTGACTATGAAGCACATACATGAATATCTTTATGTCAAATTTATTTCTTACTTACCAGTAAAGAACAGGCAACATATCATATACATGTAGTCAACTTTTCGTGAAAAGAGTACGATTTCACACTTATTCGTGAATAGTACAATTTCACACTTATTCGTGAATAGTACAACTTCACACTTATTCGTGAATAGGACAATTTCACACTTATTCGTGAACAGTACAATCTCAGTTGTTCGTGAATAGTACAATTTCACACTTATTCGTGAATAGAACAATTTCACACTTATTCGTGAATAGTACAATTTCACACTTATTCGTGAACAGTACAATTTCACACTTATTCGTAAATAGTACAATTTTACACTTATTCGTGAAGAGTACAATCTCAGTTATTCGGGAATAGTACAATTTCAAACTTATTTGTGAATAGTACAATTTCACACTTATTCATGAATATTACAATTTCACATTTTTTCGTGAATAGTACAATTTCACACTTATTCGTGAATAGTACAGTTTCACACTTACTCGTGAATAGTACAATTTCACACTTATTCGTGAAGAGTACAATCTCACTTATTCGTGAAGAGTTCAATTTCACACTATATCGTGAATAGTACAATTTCACACTTATTCGTGAAGAGTACAATTTCACACTTATTCGTGAAGAGTACAATCTCACTTATTTGTGAAGAGTACAATTTCACACTTATTCGTGAATTTTACATATTTGGTAAATGTTTCAAGGGAAAATGATACACCCAACAAGTTATGGTATCTGATTTACGTATTTCGATGTCGTTGACTAGAGTATGTGAATATATTTTATGTTGAGGCGTTTTTTGTTTGTTTTATTTTTCTGGTAATATATTTCTACATAAGTAAGTCATTAATATTACTAGGCAAAAAAAAACCTCAACAACATTTAGAATTCGAATAGTTTAAGGTGCATTTTGTATAACACCTTGGGTCTATGACGTGTGTTCCGGATATATGACAAAACTGAAGAATGTAGAATGCTACTATAAAAATAATATAGGGAAAAACAGAATCTGTAAAGAAAGCCCAAATACGGCAACATTGTAAACTGTTGCAGACTCGGTTTGATTGAGCCTGTTCATGGACGGTACTGGATACTTCAAGTTACCGTCCACGCCCCCTAGCACCGGCTTAAGCAGAATTCAACATTTAAGCACGGAAATGGTGAAATTTTTAATTTAGAAACATCCGCAGACGTGTTCATACGGCGGTTCATGTGTCAAAGTCCTGTCAAATGCTCATATATATATAGCAAAAGTAATATCTTTTGAATAACAAATGCTATCCAAATAATCCATATTTTATTTCTGTATAATTTATACATTAAACAATGTATTAGCGAAAAAAATATTAACCTGAAGTAAGAACCTAACATGTCAGTAAACACTTATAATGATTTATTCAACTCGGCATATCTGTAAAATATGAGCAAAAAGTCAAAGTAAAAAGAGTTATAAAAAGCAGCACAACGAAAGAATCTCGATCGCCATTTGAACCATAGATTTATTTCAGACACATAAAAAGGTTAATTGACAATTTCTGTGTTTTTCATTGGACAACAACTAACGGTTTCCACTTTTAGTTAACCAGTTAACTTTTTTCACTAAGTTCAGATAATGTATGGAGTCAGCTTGTTCTGGGTCAAAACAACATTGGTCATAATGTAGGCGTGGAGCGAGAAAATTATAATTATCATTAAAATCTCATTCATTTGTTGTTTTGTAAACTATGTCAGTCGTAAAATATGGTTTTTATGTTTTTATTAGTGTGATTACATTTGGACTTTGACTTGTTATAACAGTTATATAAAACACGCGGAATATGAATCACATGTTAAGAGAAAACTTATTTTGACTTAAAACCAGGTTCTTGTCTCTGGAAAATGATAATAATATAATAATAATAATAATAATAATAATTATTATTATTATTATTATTATTATTATTATTATCATTATTATTATTATTATTATTATTATTGTAAATGATCAAAAAACAATAATGGTATATGAATAAAGAAAGTGTGTACAAAATGATTTAAATAAAATTAAAATCACCGTGAACTTGAAAAGAAATCAAATATTTTTGAAGATGGACATTTCTTTTGTTTTGATGTATTACATTGATGGCGGTAATGAAATAAAAAAAAAACGTTATGAAAGTAGACTAGTGATATTTATGTATGTTGCACTTTGGTGCGTGCATGTGTGTGTTTGCGCGTGCGTGCATGCATGCGTGTGTTTGCCTCAGTAGTTACTGGTGCCTCAAAGCAATACTACGATGTGATATGTAATTTGATGTGCAAACTACACTTCACAATACTGTACTGCGTAACGACAAGTTTGTCATATCAGCAGTGTGTGGTGTAGGTTAGATGTGTTATACGTACATTCTCTTTTACTTTGGAAACATATGATCCTTTTCATAGAAAAATACGAAAGTTCCGCATTGTAGATTCGAAGTCACCTCCGTATAGGTAGATATTGCAAAATGATTATTATTATAGCACTTGTGTTTCAGCGTGCTTGGGGTTATTAATCAAAACGCAACATTTTCAAATTTTCACATCAATTTCTACTAGTCTCATTAGGTTTCAAAATTGTTTTTAGTTGGGTTTTAAGTCGCACAAATACAGTAGAATTCATATGGAGAAATTTCAAGCTTTACTGATTGAGGAAAACCTCAGGTGCCAATCCGTGCATTATTTCAGACACAAACAGGCACCTTAGTTGAATCACCGGCGTTCCGTTAGCTAGCTGCATACCTTCCTCACATGACAGAATCCAAAGTCCCGGGCGGGGTTCAAACTCACTGCGGTAAGAGACAAGTAACACGCAATGACCAATGTGCAAATGGGTCTAGTCAAAGTATGGGACATTTTTGAGATTGATATAATTCAACTACAGAATTGTTGTTTTAAAATGATTTAAAAATTTGACTTTATATACTTACTATTCAACAGTCATGTTGATAAAGTATGTCTTAAAGCTCAATGATTGTTGTTCGGTCTCCAAAACTTCAAAAAGCAACACAGCACAAAGCCCGGGACTTTCCTTTTTCGCGATGATATACATAAAGTATATAACTATCTTGTCAAATATGTTAATTTGTTTCATCTATACGCCACTTCTTTACGTTTTTATTAAATTTCAAAAGTACCGTAAGTACATATTAATATCATATTATTTCTTTAGCCTTGACATATAATATGTTCAGTCGTATATTTACATGATATGATATACATCTAGGACAAACTGGTTCTTAATTAAATAAAGTATAGTCATGTAAGCTCTAAACTCCACAGTGATAATCCAACACCGGGCCGCGTGTTACAACAAAATGCGCAATATCAACAGTTCTCAGTACATTTTATTTTAGATTTTGAACTTATATTATATTATTTGGTGGAGTGCGATGAATAATGAAATAACACACAGTACTTCGGCCCTCATAGGATTATAGTGACCTGCCAGTCAGCGCGAAATATTGACCCACCGGACTGAAGCTGAATGATCAGATACTTTAATACTATGAGATACTATTTCTTAATAATTGTGTTGCCTGTGCCTTTAATGTAAAATTTATTTTTGGTTGGGTTTTATGTACTAAAACAGTAAGGTCATATGGCGACTTTCCAGCTTCACTGATGGAGAAAGACCAAAGACGCCACTCTGTGCATTACTTAAAGCACGAACCAATACATTAGTTAGCGAGCTACATGATAGAATCCAATGTCCCTGGCGGGATTCCCACCCACAACGTTGAGGGGCAAGTAGTTTGAAGTCAACGAACTTAACCACTCAGCCACGAACGTTCCGTGACGGAACATGTATCAATGTCCATAGTGACTTCGATAATAGACACAGAATATGTACAATATGTATAGATACATCGGTATGTTTGTAAATTTATATTGCTGACACCGCATATTTCATTTCAATCAAACACTCATTATATTTTAGGAATGTCATAAAAGAAATATTTCACCAATCTTTATTAACCCTGTACCATGCTAAATATTTCAATTGGACTTTTTCATCATCTTTAAACGTGGACAAAATAAGTCGCATTTTAGGGACACTTTTTAAATAATATATGTTAACTGAATAGTGAACACCGCAGATCAGACGGCGCAGTATAAATAGATGCTGTTGCCGCCAGCAGGGTACCGTCTACCGTTTAAGGTTGTTTACTTCTTCAATTTAATTGCTTAATTAAGCGGTTTTCTTTTGGGTTGCAACAGACTTTTTTCAAATGGAGGTGACTAATCTTTCTAGGAGAAAGCGATAAAAAAGCGAAAAAAAAAGCAGCAGAAAAACGGAATCTCTGAAGAACGCACAAAACGACAAAATTACAAATGTTGCAGGCCCGAATTGATTGAGTCTGTCCATGGATGGAAGTGGAAATTGCAAGCTACTACATGTCCAAGCCCCCTATCACCGGCTTAAGCAGAATTCCTTACTTAAACATGAAAAGTGAAATTTTGATTTTAAAACATCAAAACTGTGTTGATACTGCGGTCATAATTAAACCTTCCGAAAAGCGGCGTTTTCCTAATGGGAACAATTTTGGAATTTTCCTGATAACGAAATTGGAATCCTGTGTTGCT